CTCTCAACCACTGCACCACCAAGGAAGCCCTTTAATTCAATTTTTAAAGACAATAAATAAAAGGTATATATTAGGATCAAGAGAGCTATTCTCTTTCATAACCACAGTTAGGGTTGCCAGATTTAGCAAATAAAAATGCAGGACACCCTGGGCAAATTCCAACAGAAATGAAAGCTTCTGAGCTTCCCTGACTAGGAAGACTATTATACTCCCTCTTCTGGACATACTTAGATACCATTCTTGTATTTGATGAGTTCTGGGTCCTCTTGGTTACCCTTCAATTCCTAAGCAACAAGCTGGAGATGCTGGGCAGTTTCTGGTAACCAGTTTATGTCTGTCATGATCTTGCTGATAAAATTGAGGGCTGGTTGACTCTGGTATTGAATTAGAACTTGTATTTCTCCCATCTTTTATACTTGCCCTATATAGTTATATCTCTTGAAAGTTCTGTTGACTTAGTAGTGTTTCTCAGAATAGAAATAGAATTGTCTTATAAAAACCACTGCTTAATCAAATTTCATATGTATATAAATCATCACTGGATCTTGTTAAAATTCAGATTCTGATTCAGTAGATTGGGATGGGGCCTGAAATTTTATATTTCTAAATAAGCTCCCAGAGGATTAATAGACTGGTCCTCCTATCACACTTTGAGTAGCCACCTATGTCACAATCAATAGATATCTGTTAAATATGTACGTACCTAGGCCCTATCCCCATCCCAATGCACTGATTCAGAATTTCTGGGGCAGTGTCCAGGAATATATATATATATATATATATATATATATTTTTTTTTTTTTTTTTGCGGTATGTGGGCCTCTCACTGTTGTGGCCTCTCCCGTTGCGGAGCACAGGCTCCGGACGCGCAGGCTCAGCAGCCATGGCTCACGGGCCTAGCCACTCTGCAGCATGTGGGATCTTCCCAGACCGGGGCACAAACCCGTGTCCCCTGCATCGGCAGGCGGACTCTCAACCACTGCGCCACCAGGAATATATATATATATATATATATATATATATATATATATATTTTTTTTTTTAGGAATATATATTTTAAACAAACTCCTAGGGAGACCAATGGTCTATGGGTTTAAAATGCCCTCTACCTTTTTCTCTAGTTATTAACTTTTTATCCTTCAAAGCTCATTGCTGGTCCCTTCTGTCACTTGTTGCTCTTATCGACTATCTCACACTCTAAATCCTTAACAGTTGTCTGCAAAAAGCACTTGCTGTTTATCATGGGCTATCTTTTCTTGCATACATCCTGTCTGCCCAGACAGATTTTACTTCTTGAAATGAACAATTGCATACTTTCTTGTAGCCTCAGCCCCTGGCATAACGCTTAGCATAGAGTACATGTTTAATTAACGTTCATCGCAGACAATAATGCTGATGATAGTGAATGATGAATCTCTCCAGGACTCATGGCTATTTCCCAGGACTTGTGTGATTAAAACAACCCGCTGACTCCATAAAGGAAACACCCAACTGATTAGCAAAAACTGTAATTCCCAACCACAGCACGTTATTTTTTAGGGATTGGTGCTACAATCCTTTTGTACCGTGGTACTTGGGATTTTATTATGGTAAGTGGCATTTTTAAAGGAAAGAAAGTAATACTTTGAATTTATTATGTCTTTTATCTGTGAACCTCAAAGCATTTTAAAGCCATTCATTAAGTTACTGTAGCCAAGGTGTAAATATTATTACACTCTCCTTGCAAAAATGCTGACCAGAGAAAGAGTTACAAGATACTCGATCAAAATCATGGAGCCATTGTAAGGCTACACCAAGAAACTCAGGAGCAGCTGCGTCTGACAGGTAAGCACTTCTCAGCATCTCCCACACCTAAAGTCGTGTGACTTGAAAGGTGAGCATTCTTGTAGAAGAGAGGAGGCCAAAATAAGGAGAAATTTAAGACTATTTCAATAATCTTTCTTCTTCCTCTGTATTCCTACTGCCATTGATTTTTGCACTCTCTTATTCATTCTTATGTTATGGTTAAATGCTGACACGTCTTCTCTTTCACAACTTGATTTTTGTTTTTCCCCAGTCATCTTGTTCTTCCTGCCTCCCAGTCCACTGTAGCAGCAGAGCAAAAACAACTGCCATCTGAGACCTGAAATGAGGTTGGAACCCTTGTTCCATCACGAATTCTGCCTCTTTGAAAAAGTCGGTTCACTCAGAGGCAGTTTCCTCTTTGTGTGTAAAATGGGGATGGATCACGTCCATTTACTCTGTCACACGACGGTTGAAACGACAAAACGCGATTCGTAAACTGTAAAGCACTTAATGGGTATCAGCTGTCCCCTTACTGTACCAGTCCTTGTTTAATTTAATTGAAGCCCAGAGCCACAAACCGCAGCGAACCTAACACGGACAGGGCGTGTCTGTAGGGAACAGCCTAGAGGTAGATCTTTTTTCCTTTGAGAAAACGCAGGGCGCGGAGCTGCCGGGAGTTGTAGTCTTTGCGGCGGCCTCCACATACCTCGAGGAAAGAAAAGAACTACAACTCCCGTGACGCCGTGCGGGGACAGCTCCGCGTACCCTCCCGCCGGCGGGCGCCCCAAGACCAAACGGGAGGGGGCCTACGCGCGCGACGGGGATTCACAAAGCGATCCCTGAGGCGGAGCGCGTTGTGGTGGCCGTAGCGGCTGATCCAGAAAATGAGACGCGTGGGAGTGTGTGGGGGTTGTAACAAGGATAAAACACGTGGAAAAAGGCAAATTAAAAAACAAAAAGGGCTGTGCCCTAATTCCTCACCACCCCGCGGGTCCTAACTTGCGCAGCTCGGGAGACGTCGGAAGCGCGCTTCCCGGCTCGCGCCTCGGGTCTCGGAAGCTTAAGTCAGTGGGGTTGGGAAGGGGCGGGGCCAGCGGCGCGGTGGGCGGGGCCTAGAGTGCGAGTGCGGCGGCCGCGGCGGGGCCACGACCCAGACATCTAGGACTGTTGTTCTCTCGCGGTGGGACCGCCTCAGTCTGGTCGCCCAGAGAGACCAGGAGCTGGTCTAGTTGGGAGCGGGGCGGCCGCGTCCCCCCTCTCTCCTGCTTCCCCAAAGCTGCGGCAGGAGCTGGCACAAACATCCTGCGGTTGGTCTCCGATGCCCTTCAGTGAGGAGGGGCCGTCGGGATCCTGGTGAGCGCACGTCAAGCCCCTCCAGCTACGTGTCTTTGCCGGCCCCCCAGGCCCGCACACCCAAGTCTGGCTGCCATGGCTGAAAACGCAGAGGGGGACCTGAACTCCAACCTACTCCACGCCCCCTATCACACCGGGGACCCTCAGCTAGACACGGCCATCGGGCAGTGGCTCCGTTGGGATAAGGTGGGTATCTGGTCAGCCCGGCATCCGCCCCCTATCACTCCGGCGACCCTCAGCTACACACGGCCATTGGGAGTGGCTCCCTTGGGATAAGGTGGGTACCTGGTCAGCCCGACATCCGCCCCCTACCCAGTGTACGCCCTTTCCCGTCCCCACCCGGTGCTCGGCAGGCTGTGGGGGAGATGGCTCAGGCCATGCGGCAGCGGCTAGCGGAGCCGGGCGTTGCCACCCACCTATGCCTGGGCTGCTTCCCTGGGACCGTCTGAGCTGGGAAAGAACGCCTGTAGTCCCTTCCTTTTGCAGTGCGCGAAAGTGCAACCTCCCTTCCTCCCATCCTCCCCCCCCCTCCAAGTGTATGTCATCCCTCTTAATCCAAAAAATAATAATTATCGTCGTAAGCTATATCCTTAATACATCTGTTTCCTTTCCCCTTTCTTTCTTGACTTCCTTCTCTGCAAATCTGAAAGTGGTTTTTTGCTCTGTTCTTGGACGCTATCTAACCGCTATCCTTTTTAGTTCTGTTCTGGTGTGTTTCCACCTTGCGTCGCTAGGTAGTCGCTGGTCTTTTATCGCTCCCTTGTATTCTCTAATATCACCTTTTGCTCTTGAGAAAGATAAGGGTTCTCTTTCTTTCTCTGGCCGGGAGTTATTTTATGGAAGTATCCTATTCCAAAAATTATGTTTTCCAGATTTCATGTGATGCTCCTGATACAGAATTGTTTTTGCTTTACCCATTCCTCCTCTATTCCGCCCCCACCCCCTCCAAATTGTTGCGATGATTTCATCTTGTGCAGGCATATAGGATGGATATGTGAGAGCTAAAATTAAAATGCAGTTATTTCACTTGTAAGAGGCCGTTGGCTCCAACAGAGGAAGATAATCCAGGCTTTTGCTTTGTCGAATGCATTAAATGAATTTGTTGAAATAGAGAAGTCGACATATTTTAAATGGAATTAATAATACTGAATTAAAGTATTAGTGTGGTAATATGTGAAATCATGTTATTCAATTTCCTAAAGGATTATTAGCTTTCTTAAAAAGTTTTTTTTCACTTTGTTCAGTCATTCATGCATTCAGCAAAAAATATCCATTGAGCACTGGGTAGTGCTTCAGGGCCTTTTAGGTCCAGCGTATGCTGGTGGTGAGGAAGCTAGAAAGGGTTCCTGCCCTCGAAAAGCCTTCAGTCAGCAGATGAGGAAGACCAACAAATAAGCAATTATGAGTTATTTAGTATTACTTGATCATATGTATCTTGGACATTCTAATTCCTCCTGTGGAGTCTAAACAAGTGCGGCTCAAACTTTACAGTGCTTACAGATCACCTGGAGATCTTAAAATGCAGGTTGTGATTTAGGACACCTGGGGTGGGGCCTGAGCTTCTGCCTCATAATGAGCTCCCAAGTGTTACCAATGCTGCTGGGCTGTGGACCACACTTTGAGTAGCAAGGCTCTAGAGTGTTCTGACTGAGATACTAGAGAGCTGACACCCTTCTTGTAGGATTTGACCATATATATAAAAAATATGTATGTATATACATATATATTTTTTCAATCAAGTGTGAAAAATCTGTGGTATCCCATTAATTATCATAAGGATGTGCAAAATGCAAATAACTTTAAATCCATTAGGTTATCTGGTGAGCTTATGCCACCCAACTCAAAAGCTATGTGACAGCAGGAGCTGAATAGCAAATTATTAGGTAGTGGAAAAACAATGATTGAAACCTAAAGCTGGCCTCCTTACATCCATAATTATTTTTATTCACATTTGGAAGTGAAACCACATTTTTCCCCTGCCTTTTTCATGCTGTCTCTCTTTTTCCTTTTGAGCTATTGATGTATTTTTGTATTTCATCTACTTATTAACAGTGTGGAAACTCAGTAAGAAAAGCTGAACTTTTTATTTATTAATTGCCTGCTGTGAATATAGTTCCTTGTTGTGAAAGGATACAAAAGAAGTGAAGATTCAGAGATTGCTCTTCTACTTTTGGTTCATTAGGGAGGAGGAAGCCTAATAGAAATAAAGGAGCTAAGGCTTAGCATACTGTGAAATGATATATACTACAAACTGACTGTATAAATATCTTCAGCAGGGATATCTAACTAAATTACAAGTGAAAGTTATCCTTATATGTTTAATATAGTTAATTGCTGTTGTTTAAAGCCATCTGCTGTCAGTAAATGGATGTGGTTGCACTTGTGTCTCCCTAAAGTGAAAGGAAGATTTATGAACTTCAAAGACACTTGTAGAATTCCAACACAATTTAATTTCCTAGTAACTATTATGTATGTCATAGCCTTTGGCCTTTCAACAATAGGAGTTTGTTTTTCATTGCCATGGGTGAAATCTTTTGTTCTCTTTAGGTGCCAGTTTTTTTTGTTTTTTTGCGGTACGTGGGCCTCGCACTGTTGTGGCCTCTCCCGTTACGGAGCACAGGCTGCGGATGCGCAGGCTCGGCGGCCATGGCTCACGGGCCCAGCCACTCAGCGGCATGTGGGATCTTCCCGGACCGGGGCACGAACCCGTGTCCCCTGCATCGACAGGCAGGCTCTCAACCACTGCGCCACCAGTGAAGCCCTAGGTGCCAGTTTTGACTACACTTTTCCTAATGGGTCTGTTGATTTGATTTTTTAAAAAATATTACCTGAATGAATTAATATTTATTAATTGTCCATGCTATACCTAGATATTGTTGGGGTATACTAAAATGTAAAAAGACTATGAAATACATATACATGTAAAAAGATAACGCAAGGGTGGTATTGGTGGCAATTAAATGGTTTATAGGCAGTCAGTTTTTATAGTAGTTTAAAAGTAAGTGACCTGTGGACTGTGTAGTCAGGGAAGACAATAAGAAGATGGGATGCATCTAAAAAGAATGAGGAGAGCTTTCACTGTGAGGGGAAGAGAAATTAATTTATATTTAAAGTGCCCTCTACATACAAGGCACTGGCTGAAAATCTGTGGGAGACACAAAGATAAACTAGATATGGATTGTATCTTCAAAGAAAATAGAAGGGAAAATAAAACAAAAGCTCACAAATATAATACAGGGAGCAAGTAACAAGTGCCTTTAACAGATAAATAGATTTAAATAAGTTTAATAATTATTTAATAAAAATAATATTTACTTAATTGATCCCTCTCTTAATGAGAAAAATACTTTTAATTAGTAAGCAAAGGTGTATCTACTGTAGATAGATAGTGTAGGTAAGCTAGGCTATGATGTCCCAGGGCACTGAAATGTAGAGTGCAGAAATGTAAAATAATAGATCAGACCAACAGCATTTATTGCATTACACGTGGATGGCATATGTGATCTTCCAGCACAGAGAAACTGAGTTTAATACCTGATTAATACCTATTTATTTTTTTTATAGTGAAAAAAAGAACCTACCAAATGCCCTGATTCTTGATGACTCCGGTGAGGCACATAGTACTAAGACATAAGTTGATCTAAAGGCAATTTGCTACTTGCCTAGGTCACCAGTATTGCTAGTTTTAGCCTTGGTGGGTGGTGTTCTTTGAAATCTCTTCATGAAAAAGGTGTTATCTGTGCTGAACCTTCAGGATTAATTAAAATTTAGACTTGTCAACATTGAGAGGAGGAATATTCCAAGTAGAGATAAAAACATTAATGTGTATACTTAGAATATTTGTTTCTGCTGTAGCTTAGGGTACATAGAGAGAAATTGTTGGAAAGGCATGTAGACCAGGTCATAGAAACGCATTAGTATGTCGTTAGTGGCCTTGAATAAATAAAGGTGTATGTAAGTGTTAAAAAGAAATTAGTGCAACAAGACAGGGGAGGTCCCATGTACCCCTTCCTGTTCCTATGGAGTGGCATTCTGTTGTGCCGTTTAGTATAGTCCAGAATCTGACCCTTGGTTCCTATACCTTCAGACTAATTTGTTAGTCTGTCTTGTCTCAGGATGGACTCACCCGGCTCAAGGTTACAGAAACTGATGTCTGAATTCAGAATGCTGTTTTATTAATTTATGGTACAGTTGTAATATAAATAGATTTGTCTCAGTCAAGCCATTTTCTAGATGCACCATAAGGGAAGTCAAAGAATCAGAATATTTTTAGTGATTGTGAAATCAAATCACAGGGAGTCAGATATATGGCATAAATGTTTAACAGCATTAGCCTGTAATAAGTAAATGCATCAGTCTCTATGATGGGACTGTCCTACCACTGGAATCCAACAAGTCTGTGGATCAAGGTGTTCCTCCTCCAGGCAATGCACAGATGACTCTTCTACAGTGCTCTCCCCTTCTATCTTTTAGAGCTGACTAAGGCCCTCAGTTCCTTCCTACGTCTTTCTTTCACAGCTTTCATACATTCTATCAAATTACAGACAAGTCTTGCTGGCCTAGACGCCAGGTTCTCTTTAACATGACAACTCTCTCCTGTTTTTGATATGCTGTAAATTTTAACTTTTTGAAAACAGTCTTATCAAAGATATTAAGCACTGGCCAAATTTGGGTGTGTGAATGTATGGGTGGGGAGTGGGATGAGACCCAGGGCAGAGCTGCTTAGCCAGATGTAGCAGCAACAGCTACATACATATTGAAAACAATATGGAGGCAGGAATTGGCTTGGCGTTTTGAGAAATAATGAGTAGAGTACTATGGTCTCAGAATGTAGGTCTATGTTGAGAAAGAGTAGAAGGTAAAGGTAAAGATAAGTTAGTTAGGTTAGGGTTATGAAATGCCTGAAAATAGAAATAAAAGACTTCATTCTAAAGTCAGTGATTTTCAAACATCTAGCAGTGAAAGTTTTTCAAGCAAAATATAGCCCAAATTGTTTTAAAAGTGGTGAATGAATTTCCTTTTAAATCATCATCATGTGATGGAAAACACACCCATGAAGCACCTCTACAAAGGTTGTCTAGTCCAGTTTCATTGTGCAGAGACCCAAAGAAGTTGTGGAAATTATCAGTTGTGTTGGGTAGAGCCTGGACCAGAACTTGGATCTGCCACCTAGTTCAATCCAATTT